AGGCGTACACCAACTGCATCACAACTACCAACTGTGACACATGTTCGACATGATTTCTAATTTTTCTCTCAACATCACTGGTCTGCTATCAATTATATTATTAGTGTTCATTACTGTCCATCCGTACCTGACATGCCTATCGTTTTGATGCTTAGGTGGGCTGCAGCCAGTGCCAGCACGCTCTGTATCTGAAGGCAGGGTGCATTACACGCTCATCGTGTGCTTTTCTGCCATTCTGACATACGTGGACATATTTAAATTCACACCTGTGGGCACTTTACAGACAATTTCTGGGAATTTAGAAACATTGATTGTGAAAGAGTCACTTGAAGGTATGATTACCTGTGTGTGCAGCTTCCTTTGCTTTGCTGATTTTTCCCCCATTGTTTAGTAATCTACTCTGAAGCTTCAGTGTTCATTCTCACTGCCCTCCGAGCTCTTTTCAGTGAAACGACTCTGGAAGGCTCGCTCAACACTACACTTTATACTTGGCAGCAGACAACAGACAGGCAGTATTTAGATGATAATAGAAACCACAAAAACAGCTAAATATAACTCAAGATAATAAATACTGGGTGCTTGTTCAGCAGGTGGATACAGACACAAGTCCAATAAGCAGCTGCTTGCTAATGTTTGCCAAATCGATTTAAAAATCTATGATATGTCAGTGTTGTGTTCCTTAGTTGTTTGCGTTGCTTCCAAGCGGTTAAAGACATCAATGATTGCAGGTTTTATAGCTTTAAATAAAGACAGAGACAATGATCCCCTATTTTTCTCCTATTTTTGTGTCAGCTCTTGCTCTTAGAGATCTTATTGAGGGGATGAGTGGATTCAGCTGCTGTATACAGTATGAGGTACACAAGAAAACAGACTATTAACACTGCTTCTCAAATCTCCACACTTATGGTCTCATAGTTCTAAACCAGAAATGCATTTTTCATGAGTGAAGATCATCAAAAGAGAAAGCAATATTCTTCAAACAATAATTTGGGGGTTTTTTGGCAGCGAGTAACAGTGAAATCACTGAAGCCCCGACTAGCTGGAGATTTTTCTCCACTCTGCTTTGTCTCTGACGGCTCACAGAGCTGTATTATATAGATGCACAGCTTGTAAAATCCGGGGCTGATGCCAGCATCGGTTTTTATGATAACCATTTGGCCGGTACTAGTGCCTTTGTGCTAATTTAGTGCTGTCGTTGACCCTTCTAGTGCCAGGCAAGTAAAAAAAAAAAAAACGCGAGGGGAAAAAACAAAGTCCAAGCACAAGATTAATGTGACTCAAAGCTTAAACTTCAGCCACTGCCATAGTTAAATGTTAATTATGTGGGATGTATGTTTAGCTGATGTATTGATAAATCCAGTTAAACGTATTTGCTCATGTAACCCTTAATAATAAGCATGCTGTCAATTAAAGGTCACACAAAGTGATTGTAATCAGCAGTAAGAGAGTGATGGTAGTTACTCTCTTACTGCCTTTGCAGAAGGACTATTGCTGACTGATTCTCTCCCAGCAATGTTATTATTTGCGTTTTTTATGTCATGCATTCATTATTTTTTTGATCAAGCTTTTTCTGTTTACTCAGCAGCAGTGGAAGCAGCACCAGTTTAAATAAGCTCTGAATACAGAAAGCTGTGTTAGTATTTAAAATGTGATTTGTGCGTGTCGTTGTTGCACTGACACCACATTTCATCTTTGCTTTGTATTTTCTGTTCTCTAAAGATCTTCATGCCAACCTGCTTAAAAAGACAATATCCTCTGTCATATGTGTGACAGTTATCTACACTCACACTAATGAATTAAAGGAAAAAATAAAAATGAAAAGAAAATTGTTTCTTTTTTTTCAATGACATGAAATATGAATCCCTGTCTTCCTGTCTCATACTCTTCAGGTGGAAGGAGCAGCATATATGGGTTCGTTTTTATGGAAATCTCGTAGTATTGGTTTGTGGAACCGGTCTAGAGGAGAAAATATGTTGGACAGTGGAGCTCCCTTCTACGATACCTACCAGACTTCGGATGGACAGTTCATGGCTGTTGGTGCCATTGAACCTCAGTTCTACAAACAGCTGCTTAAAGGTTTGTTGACTTATT